GGAGGACCTCAGTGACGAGAGGAGAATGTGTAGCGCTGAGCTAATACATATATATGGTGATAGCGTCAGGGCTAATGCTAACTCTGTCAACGCTCTCTGGTTTCATTTAAAAGAGTCGATCATCAGATATTGTCCAAGATTAACCTTCAGGGTGGATATAGCTCGCTAGCAGCCCCGCACCGAGGACCTATCCACGTCATCATTTACCCAGAATGCTTTGTGTGGAAATAAAATGGCTCTGTCTGTGTTAAAATATGTTTTTAAACTTTCAGTTTAAAAATGATAAAAACTGAACATCCTACAGTATTCTTACAGTCTTTATTTTACAGTTAAAATATATGTTTATTAAATAAAGTCTAGTGTTACAACTAATCGGGGATCCCTTTAATGCAACAAAACTTGGTTGAAGAGCTTTGGGTTGAAGAGTAGTGTTTGATTAGTGTGTGGGAGGAGTTTATCAAAGTTATATTTTTGTTTGTACACTATCATGCATTTGTCTTTAGTTTTTTAACTTTCTGTTGTATGTTGCGTGAAGTCTGTTGTGTGTAAAGAGTGTGTGGGTGTGTGTGTACTTGTATTTGGTAYCTTTTTAGGGCCGTTTCTGGTATACACACCATCCTTGTTTAGACCAGTAGTCCATATGGAAATCAAAGACTGGTTCTAATATGCTGGAACTCCATTTTCAGGTTGGGGGTTAAATTTAKGGTTAGGTATGTACTGGGGTGGTTAGGTTTAGGCTATAGAAATAACTGGTAATGAAAGGAAGTCATAAACAGTCCTAATAAGGGTAGAAGTACAAATTTGTGTGTGTATCTGATGATGCTTTCAGATCTTAGAGTGGGGCTGGTGGATGTCTAATCTTTCCGTCTGTTCCTAGTGGGGAAGTGGGACAGTAATTGGGTCGTCATTCATTTTTAGTAACTAATACAYAGACAGCCCCCACCCCTACATAAATGTAAACAACATCATCCATTTTAACACTCCCACTGTGTACAGATATGAGGCAGGAAATATTGCATATGTGGATGTGTGATGTCCACACAGATTGTCTGTGTCCCTCAGATTCAAAAAACTGCTCTCCGTCTGGACATTTTCTTCAGCACACCAATACCTCCAGACTCGTATTATCTGAACAAATATTTCATTATTTTGTCAATCAGAATAAATACCTGAATAARTCAACAGTTATTTTAATTATCCACAGAAATTAGATTATTTTTTCATTTGGCAACTGTTTTGGCTTGAATCCAAATGCGAATCATCCTCAATTTTTTCTTTCCTTCGTCRTCGTAGAGGACATTGAAATGTCTTAGAGAAAAGCAATTTAACAAGCATTAGGAAGCCACGACAGAAGAGAATTCTTGTGATTTAGGTAAAAACGGATGGTTTTGACAGTAAAGTTGTTACATCTTAATTGAATCAAAATGAAGAATCTGTATTCAACTAACTTGTCTTATTGTGCATATTTTTGCCACCAAGTAAACCGTAGAATACAGCATATATTGCAAAATAAAACATCTCCTTTCAATCTATTCTTTCCACCTGTTTTGTAATTCTCTCTCTCCAAACAGACACACACCTGTAGGTCCTTCACAGCAGAAGCACATAATCAACATGTCCTCTTTTCTTTCATTTACCCATTTAAAGCTCTTCTGCTTTCATCCTTGCCATGACAAACCTCTTGTTCCTGGCAGAAGCATCAGCCTCCCTCAAAGAGAAGGAGAAGCCGTGTGGAGYATTTGAATCTCGTAAACTCTAAGCTGCAGTGTTTTTATTTTTTAAAAAGCTCGTGTGCATTTAAAGGAAACTCTGCTTGTGTGTTTCTCTGCACCAAGGACAAGTCCAATCCTCTCCACTCAGCTTCTCTTAAAGCCGCTATTATACTAAGTACTGATGTTGAATGTAAAATTAATCGTATTGCCTTTGTTTTCCTCAGACACAGCTGAGCTGTATGTATAGAGGATATAGTTGGTTTTTAAAGCGCCACAGTCACTCGTTCATTCATCACACTGTCTCCCATTCTCAGTGAYGTGCTGCATAATCCTATTAAGGATAATGAGTGAGGATTGTATTCTAAAAGAAGTCTTGTCTGTTGTAGAGCCGTCAAATTAGTCTAGACTCTGTAAATAAATCCATTTCGAGCAGCCACATCACCAATCAATTTGTAAGACAATCAGGGCAGTTGTTGCAAGGCCTGAATATTTATGTATGTTTTGTGCTCCAAGCAAAGATTTAGACCTCCTGCTCTAGATTTTACGGAGCTCGCGAGGGGACATGGGGTAATTTTTTTTCTTCTGCGTTCCCACGCAATACTATTGSGTTATCTCGCAATATTTTGCGTTACCTCGCAAAACTTTTTGCCTTACCTCGCAAAACTTTTGCCTTACCTCGCAAAATTGTTTTGCGTTCCCACGCAAAAGTTTGTTTTGTATATGAACTGAACTAAATCAGACTTTTATTTTGAAATATCCGGTTACCAAAACAGGATGTGTCGCCACAGTTTGTGAAATTGATATTGATGTTGCGTGGCTGCACTGTGTTCAAATATCGACATATGACATACTTYCATGCGTCACTGTGTAATACTGTATGTTCATTCTGAAGCTGAATTAAAGTAGTAGGCTAACTCGCTAATGGTGAACATGTGAATTTGTTAATAAACCGGCAGGCACAACAGTGATAAACGACTTTTGCGAGGTAACGCAGTACTATTGCGTGGGAACACAAAAGAAAAAAGAAATCTCCCGTGTCCCCTTGCAGCGCTCCGTAAGATTTGACCATGTAATTTAATTGATCAAAATTTTTTTCCTGTATTGTCTTCATCAGGGCGTGCCTCCAGCTGATCATAGACTGTCCTCCATCCATCCAGGAAGAACTGGACCTCATCAGTGCCCTCAGCCAGCTGGGAGACTTTGGCGTTAGCATTCTGCCACTGCAAGGTACTACAGAGTGAGCACATGTTGAAACAGAGCATTCAATCAAATGTTCCTAAAGGCAGACATAAATAAGCCGTAACGATGCAGTCCCCCACCTTTCTACCACATGCACCGTCTAGCCCGTCTCCCATCCTGCTGTCATCCCTCCATATGTTACTCCTTCCTGCCACTATATCTAAACACATGGTTATTTATGGATCAAGTTCCTGAGCAAACAACATCTGCCTGATGGCCTAATTAGGACTGAAGTTTTCGGTCTGTATGTGCGCGCTCTCACCTGCGTACACACACAAATGCACACCCACAGCTTGACAAAATTTGGCTCCGACTGTAAACCGGACCAGAATGGATTAGTGTCTGCGCTCTCTCACGCAGGCCTTCGTGGCCTCTCTCGGTCTCCTGCTGCAGTGGTTTCCAGACTTTTTTCTCTCCAGTTTAAATTAAAACAGCCGATCCYGCTAAACAAGCGTTGGCCTCTCGTTGTCTGACCCCTGCATTGAGGTGCTGTTTACCCCTGTTATCGCTGCACTCTAAACCCCTCAAACCTAGCAGCTCACAAATAGTTGCTCTTTTGAATTTTAGAGTTTGGACTATCAGGTCTTAAAATTAGGAAGAAATGACTTCAGATGAACAGGAGCACTACTTTATGATTAACTCAGTATTCCCTTTCTCACACAGCCTCTCAAACCAATGATGTGCTTTTTTATTTATTTCCATCTGCGTCATGTGAAAGAGCAGCGGTGCAAAGAGGGTAATCACAGGACTGAATTGGCTCGCATGTTTTGGGAGGGGGAGCCGTGTGCAGTGCACAGCTCTGACCAAACAATGCATTTTTCACCCAGTTCATTCCTCGATGTTGATTTGTTGTGTGTAAACACACTGAGCTGCTCATGTTGAGCGTATATTACTGCAGCGGAACTGCTTCTCATGGATTTTATTTTTCTAAGGCAATAAGACAAGTGATGCATGAGAACACTGCAATGTGCCCTGGTCTTCTTGCTGCAAAATCCCCAAATCATCATTCTTCCCCCTGCCCCCTATGCCTGACACTTAATTAGAGGTATTTGTTTTAAAAATTTTAATTTCTTTTGTTTGAAATATCTCGTGGTTTGTTCCGATGCAACTTGTCAAACCTAAACCATGTTGTAATGATCTTTTAGAGGCACATGCTTTTGTCCTGATAACTTTTTCAAACATATGAATTGGTCAAAAATATTTCTATTAAATTGTCATGGACCTCAGTGTTTAACCTGCTAACAGAGGCATGTACAGCACATTTGTCAAACTGAAGGCCCACAGGCCAAATGTGGCCTGCCACAGCATTTTATATGGCCCGCAAGGGCTTCAAAGATACATTAATGTCTTAAAACAATGCTGCTTTCAAGCCAAAAATCTCTATCACTSCATAAAAGACTGATGGCAACTTTGTTTTCCTCTAATTCCTGAAAACTTTCCTGGTTTTCATTGTTATCACACACTTTGATGYTCCAGATCCAGAACCTACCAAGACCCCTGCTTTTAAAGAGGTTTTTATATTCAATGTAGATCAGGCWGTCAGTGGATTTGTTAAACAGGACCTGGTTGCTTCTTCATCTTTTTATTCCTGTAAAGCAGAAAGAACGCACTCAACTTTAACAAAGAGTTATTGCTATATTGTATTTTTGTTGAGTAAGAAAACAGTTTTATTTACCTGTTTATACACTCATAAAAAACATGATTTCCATTTTACTCTCATATATAAAATGTTATTTATGAAACAAGGCCAATTTACTTCTAATATGACTGTAGAATTGGAAGAAAGTCGTAAACACAAGATCTAACTTCCTTCTTGTTTTTATCGGTTTGCCTTTGTCCTCCGCTTCACCAAAAGAGTAAAAACAAGCAAAACATTTTGAAGAAACTGGAAGAACAGTGATTTAGAAAAAAAAAAAAACATTGTAAGAGAAAATGAAACAAACAGAATTGAAGTGAAAAGAAAACTAAAATTATTGATTTTTCTGTGAAGTATGGATCAGTGATTACGGTTTTAATGTCCAGTCTTTGTACTCTTGGTCAAAAATGGTTCCACAGCCCTGTTTTCCTCTCTGTGATAATGTATCATTTATTTTCTTCTGTTTCAAGGACATGCAGGTATCGTACTCGAACACAGCAAAAAAACAAACCAAAAGAAAAGCACATAATTTTTCTTACAAAATAAAAGCCCTGTCCCTGTTACAGGGCACTGTCACAGATAAACACAAGCATGAAGCTGGAGGATTTGAACATGTGTAATCCATCTTAGGCTTCTCCCCACAGCCTTTCCACCGAGCCCGAGGCGATGCTTCTCACACACCACCCTCCCTCCGAATTCCCTTTAGGCCTCGCCCAAAGTGATGCCAAGTTTTAAAGCTCCTCCGAGTTGAGCAAAGAATTCACAAAGGCCCGCTGAGGTTGAAAACATGAGAGTTCTCGCATTTTCGCGAAAGTTTGGAGAAAAATGGAAATGAATTTTTAGGAAGTTTGCGCATCTTGAAGTGAAAGGAAAAAAAAAATCAAATCCTGTCAAAAAAAATTGAATTTCTAACCTGCATCCTGTTTTGTATCCTGTAAGGTGTTTTCAGACTGATTTACATAGAGTCTCAACTATTTAGTTCAAAGCCTTTAAGTTTGTTGCAAACAAAGTCATCAGAATAAAGAGTAGAATATTTTCTGATGTCTGCTTCGGTTGTGATAAAACAGACTCTCACAGTCTCATCAGTTTCAGCCATAATATCATCTGGTTAGGTTTGGTCTATGCTTTTGCGAACTGCGCAGCACTTTATTATTTCCCTGACATGTTGACAGCAGCTGCTTCATCATTCACTCTACATGATTTCCTATCACTTTTATCATCAGCTGTAACTTGTTCCAGATTGAGTACTGTAATTTGCCAAACAAGTGTGACACTTATTTTTTCCTCTCTCTCTCTCTCTCTCTCTCTCTCTCTCTCTATTTTTTAAATTCTTCTCTGCAGTTCGCCTGCGATCGGATCGTTTATCTCTCATCGAGGAGTGCGTCGCCCACTGCTCCACGGCCTACAAGCAGTCCACCACTCTGCTCAATCTGGCCTCACTTCTACGAGTGACAGGTAAATACACGCTCAGGTAAACATGACCTCGATTCCCTCTCATCCATTTTCCTGTTGGGAAATGTAATATGTTATATGTTATCACGTGTTCTATAGTGCAGTTTAATCAAGACGACTTCCCTTGCTGTCAGCCCTATGTGGCTTGTGAAATTAATGAACACATCCCAGTAAAGTTTTTTTTTTAATATACCCAAATAACTTTTTGTTCAAGAAAAATGCATGTACCATATCCTCTTAGAGAGAGATTCMGTGCGACTAGAGTTTTTCTTTTGTAACAATGATTGTTACCTTGGGATGWCAGTTTATTTCTAACTTTAAGTTTGCTTGGCTGCATTTCTGTTTTTGTCCCAGCACACAGAGAGGTCTTGTTGGCTGAATTTTAAAGTTGATACATTTCCAGTGTGTAACATAACAAAACAGGATTCAAAAACAGTTTGGAGTCATTTGGACATAAGATTTATGCACCCACTGGGTAGTTAGGGTAATGGTTACACGGAACACATAAGGCCTGAGGTTTTTAGTTTAGTTTTGTGTTTTTAACTTTAATACAAAATTTAATTTAAAATTAATTATACGTTTTCAATTTTTGACTCAATGCAATTAAATAACAGGTACAGTGAACCCCAGCAAATTTGTGTTTCACAGTTTACAGACTTAGTCTTTCGCAGATTTTTTTTCATGGAACTGCTGGTAGTTTGTGATAATCCCCATGATTTTTTTTATTTCTCTTGCTTTTTTGTGAGTTTCTAAGCAAAAATTTAAAGATTATAGTTTACTATTTTTTTTACATAAATAGCATGAATTCAGTTTGATTAAAAAAAGGCAACTATACACAAATGTATGTGTCAACGTTCCACTCGGAGCGCAGCATTTCCACCTTTTAACAGTACAGTACTGCGTGGTGTGTAGGTGCCTCCTTTGCAATAAGACGGTTCATGAAATTTCATCCTTGTTGGACATTCCATGGTCATTTGTAAGTGTTGTTAGAAAGCAGAGGCGTTTGGGAACATTAACTCAGCTACAAAGCAGAATACCAAGTAAAAGAAATTCCAGCCCTCTTTGAAGCTGTATATATCAGACAAACTTCATAGTAAAAAACATTTAAACTTGAAACAAATTCCAAGCTATCTGTCACCCTTAAAAATCTGTAAAAAAGGTTTAATGTTATCACTATTATGGTAATTTTAGGAATCTAGTCCATTAGCCTTTTCTTTTCCTTGGACCATAAACTCATTTTTTCTAATGTTCCCTTATATTTACATCCTCTCAACAGGAGAAATGTTTACATCTGTTTTCTTCTGGTAATTTCAGGAGGGAATTTTTTTTTCTGCCTTGAAATAAATTTTTCATGATTTGATGTGCGCTCTCATATTTGGAGAGGCGCATTGCAGAACTGTTTACACTGCAGCACGGAACACGTGGACCAGTAAATCAGCTCAATACGAAGAGTGAAAGAAGCTAGCTGGCTGCAAATTGTAGAAGCTGATTTAAACAGAATTAAAAAAAAAAAGAAATTAAACCTTCTGAACCCTTGTAAATACAGAAGAACAAAAAGAGTTTGCTTTAACAGGCTATTGTTGCTCTTTTTAAAAACACAAATTGTAGTTTTTGTGTTTGTTGCTCCTGCTCTTTTTTATTTTTATTATTATTATTTTTTTTGCCCAGTCGCTCAGTCCTCTCGCTCTGAAAACTGCCAACAGCTAAAGGAAACCTGCTAGCCRGCCTGGTGGCATTTCTGTGGCTGTACCTCTCACATTCTGTCAGCAGGAAGCCCTCCCTGTGTGGCTTCGGAAAAAAGGGAGGCAAAGGGAGATGAGAGGAGGAATAAACATTTTTTTTTAATAAATATATGCAGGAGGGAGCCTTTTGAAGGGTGCATAGCTCTGGGGCTTTGTGGTGAATATTTAATGCAGGTATCACCACCATAGCAGTTAAAAACACTTAGTGTTGGGTTTCTGCCTCAACAGAAATGCTCTGTAAATCATTTAGTATACAGGATAGAGGTAGGGAAAAAAGAGCATCTACTTTTGCCTGAAAGGATCAATAATTATGATATTATGTATGATTTTTTCGATGGCGCTGACTTGCAAAAGATCTTTGGCACAATCCAGTTTGGAGCTTTAGGAGATTGTGTTGTCAGTGTTTAGGTTGCAGATTTTCAGTTTGTTTTTCTGACAATCCTCACCTTTTGATCGTGGCCTTTGATTGGCTCATCAAGGAGAAATAAAGGTTTCAATTGGATAATCAATATGTCTGATTGAGTTCAGCTTAGAAAAAATAGGGAATGTTTTGACTTAAAAGGAACACAGTAGATTTGCTGTGACACACACAAACACACACACATTTGTTTTTTCTATCCTCATGGGTACTTTGCGTTGACTCATTTACCATTTCTATAGCCTGACCGTGACCCGTTACGTGAAACCTAACCTCACAAATACATACTTGACCCAAAACCTAAACTCACTTCAGTTAGTCCTAAACCGAACCCCTGACCCACCAACGGTATTTCATCTGATGAGGACCAGACTTTTGTCCCCATAAACACCAGTGGGTCCTCACCCAGGCTGTGTGTCCCTGGAAAACGGTCAAAATTTGCCCCAACCAGGTAACAAACATGTACACACACACGCACACACTGAGAGAGCGACACACACACCCTTTATATTGAGGTCTCGGCAGCTTTTGAAGACACCCTTTCACTAGTCACCTAGAAAATATTTGACAAACACGTCTTATTCCCCGTCAGTAAACACCGCACATCTGTCGCTCGCGCAACACGCACACACAAAGCACACAACCGCAGACCAAACCATCATCGCCACGACTGTGCTTTGATTCTCAGTTTGCTCAGAAGCCGTGTTTCTGCTCGTGTCTCTTTTTATCGTTCTGTTCGCCCCCAACATTTTGTTTACCGAGCTCACAGAGGCATCAAAGGCTGTCCCAAACCGCCGCCTCAGCCTCAAACACTGCACCCGGTCCCACGAAGATTTCCAACTTTGATTTATTCCTGTTTGATTAAACAGCACGGTAGCACATTTTCATACTTCAACCTTATTTATTGTAGATATTGATTAAAGATGTGGTCTCACACTCTTGAGTTGTTTGTAGTTGTGTTAGCACAGTCACATAAAGATTTATTAAGAGATTGATTAAGATATATGTTACATGTGATGAGAAGCATTAAACGGTTTACTGTTTAATAAACTGGTCGTCGTTTTCTTGGCAGATTCTGATTTTTGTAAAGCTCTGATTTGTAAACTCTGATTTTTTATTTCTCTCAAAGAATCATAATTAACAGAATCCAAACCCNCCCCCTTTGATTCTGGTTGAACTGAAAAATTGGTTATTCATAATAAAATGTTTCCAATTAAAAGCACCTTGATTTTGTGTTTCTAAACATTTCCTTTTCATAACAAGAAATATGTACAAATTTATATCCTGTAAACCAGGGCTATTCAATTGGCGGCCTGCGGGCCACATCCTGCCCACGAGTGACCAAAAGTTCGGTCCGCCAATTTGTTTATTCATCTCTTAAGCCCAAACCCCCGGTTTTCAACTTTAATTACTCTAAGTTCTTTTAGTTAAACATAGACATGTTTGATATCTACAGAAACGTCAGAATCTTGACTACAATCTGGTAAAAACCATTTCTATAAACACTCAAGACAGTTAAAACTACAAGCAGTTGAAGATAAAGCTATGAAAGTGAAAATAAAATTGTTTTAAAAATTTGGCAAGTCAGAGATGTCAAAATATTTGTGTCAAATATGAGGCAGAATGTGTTCTTTTTGTTTTTGATAATGTGTAATTATCACTACTTTTATAGGGTTCTGTATGTTGTATTCATGATTAAATGCAGCAAAATAAACTAATTCAAAGGTAACAGATCTTTGTAATGCTTGGTTTATTTACATAATAACTTTAATAGCTGGATGTTTGGCCCCTCAGTTGTTGACCGGCAGTAACTGTGGCCCCTGGAGCAATTTAGTTGAATAGACCTGCTGCAAACTATTAGATAGGATTATCTGTGCAACCAAAACCCATTTAGCGTTTGAAGGCAGAATATACCTACTTCATGTTTTTTTTTTTTTGCTTTTAATTTTTTTGTACATTTGGAATCATGAAAGTGTACCACATCCCAGGACGGTCAGAAGTTTGATTGCCATTTTGCCGTAGTGCCTTCAGACTGCGACGTAATCCGTATTTTGAGTGTTGTATTACCCTACCAGCGGTCAAGCATATCAGCCTTCTGGTCACTGATTAACTAGTGAACTCTAGTTTGTTGTTTACATGCTGACTTTTCCTCAAAATACAATTAAGCCATTTTTTTTATAAATAACCCTGTGTCTGTGTTTCCAGGAGATGATGAGAGCAAGCAAAGAGGCCAAGTGCTCACCTTGCTGGCAGAACAAGCTCTCAAGTTTTTGGACTTTAAGGCCGCTTACATCCACTGTCAGGACCTCATGGCTGCAGGTTTGTAGTCGGCAAGGAACCTGAAATAAGCACACGAATTTGATAGAGAAATCATTAAAATGCTGTAAAAAAACCAAAGTCTATTCCAAATGATCGGACATTAATACAGTTTTGAAGCTCTCACAGACCACATAAAATGCCATGGTGGGCCACATTTGGCCCACAGGCTTTGAAGTTTGACACGTGATCCAGGAGATACAGCAGTAACTAATATTTTTCTTCAACTGGTATCACTGTCAAATTTGGTTGTTTAGATCGTCAAGTGATCTTAAAAAGAACCAACATAAAGACGTGGCTCAACTTCATCAAGCTAGTTTTAGATCATGCATTATAATGAGGAGAAAAGATTTTTCTTATGTTTAAAGAAAACATGAAATAGTGCAATGACTTGTAAGAGTAATAGCAACCCCTAACTTGGCAACATCTTTAAAGGGATATTTGAGTTGTTTGAGAGCTCAGACTAATTTCACTCAGTTAGTTTAAAAGAACAAAAGGGCTGATGTTAAAACGGCAACAAACGTGAATCTGAACGACTCGGAAGTCTTTGGAATTCATAATCTTCTCAATGCAGGAAGACGTTTTAAGTTCTGTCTGCTTTATGAAGCTGAACTTTGACAAATCCCGAGTCGAAGATGCACACAGAAATATAAACAACAAACTCAGAAAACATTAAAGCTAAATCTGAAGCTGTCTTGCCAGTCTTAAATGTAATGCACCTGATGGATGGATGAAGTTCTGCAGGGTTGTTTTTTTTCTTCTTCTTAAAGTTGAACCTCCTCACTGTCTTTTTTGTCATTACTCTTTCCAGTCAAAAAAAAAAAAAACCACTAAGAAAGAAAATAGTGTTTGTGTAAATAAAAAGCATTGAAGAAATGGAAAAACGTGCTTTTAAGAGAGGTAATGTGTAATCTGATAATGTASAACTATCTGTTTTGGAGCAAAGAAAATATTTGAATTATGTTCTATGTTTTGTGTTCTGCATTGTGTGCATGTACTCTGGCATCCCTATAAACTGAGGAGAAAAACATTTTGATTTAAAGTTTTTTTATTTATTTTTCTCCCCTTATGTCTTGGCTGACCTCACTCGGCTCTGCTTCTCTTCTCATTTCCTTCATTCTTTTCTGTCCTCAGGTTACAGCCCGGCGTGGGACGTGTGCAGTTTGCTCGGTCAGTGTGAGGGTTATGCAGACCTGGAGGCGCGACAGGAGCTGTTAGCCTTCGCTCTCACTCACTGTCCCCCAGACAGCATCCACGCCCTCCTCACTGCCTCCAGTGATCTGCAAACTCAGGTTAGAACAGCAAACCTGCTCTTTTGAAGGAAAAAAAAAACTTGATTGTTTTGTGTGCCTCACTTTCAAGTGTTTAAACACACAAAGTATATTTAAAAAATGTAAAAACATAACTTTTTCATAGGAGACCTGAGCCTAAAGTTAGCCTGAACATGCAGGCATTTGGACTGTGGGAAGAAATTAGAGTACCCAGCAAACAACCAAACACAAGGAGACATGCAAACTTTACACAGAGACCCCAGGCCAAGCTGGGGATTTTCTTGATGTGAAGCAACAGTGCTAACAACTGAAATATGAGGCTGCCATATTATTTTTTTAGTGACATACGCTGAGATTTGTGAGGTTAATTTAAAATGAGTTTATAAAGTTTTTACACAATTATGACAGACTGGAAAAACAAAAATCTGGGTTTTGTCCAGTATTTTTGACCTTAAACACAAAGGCAGTAGTTTTGCACATTTAACAAAACCCACAAATCAGTAATTTATATTTGAAATGGATGTCAGAAACTCAGATTTGTTGATACAGTCAGGCTCATAACTGTAGCTCCAATGAAACATTTATCTAAATTTGTTAGTTTTATGAAAATTTTATTTAGTCTTCATTAATTTTAGTTTATAGGTAAAATAAATCAAGGTGCAGGCCATTCTTGAAAAACTGAGTTGTGTGAAGTAGTTTTCCTGTATCTACTTTTATGTCCGGAGCCCATCCGAAGACATCAAAGATGACTTGTGGCCTTGAGATAATAACTCATGGCCACRAGATAACTTTTGACCACAATGTAATACTTTGTGACCATGGGATAATGATTCATGACCACAAGATAACTCGTGACCACAAGATATTTACTTGTGACCACAAGAAAACTCATGACCATGCGTTGGTTGATGTGGGACCATGAGATAATAGCTTGTGGTCATGCGTTAGTTAATTTGTGGCAACAAGATAAGTTTGAGCAGCTATGTGTCTTAGATATGCAGACATTGTTTGAGTTAGGTTGTATACAGTATGAATATTCTGGTTTTGTTTTTAACTGTTCAAAGGTACCCTACACTTATTGTTTACTTTTTTAGGTGTATTTTTAATCCAAAGAGTATACCTCCARTGGTTCAGTTTTCATATAACTAATATTTACAATGTTAGCCATTTTGCTTCCCCTAAAATGGTTTTGGGTATTTTAAAGTATAAAAAAATGTTTCATCTAAAAGTTTGAATCTGCAGAAGTTTACTGCATCTGTCACTTTGTCTTTCCGTTTTTGGTTTTATCTTCAGTAAGCACAGCTCAGTAGGACTGAGGTTAGCAAACTTTCTTTACAATTTAAGCCTTTCTTATCTAAGGAAATTCTGTTATTGTCAATTTCGAGCTGAATGCACAGGTGTACGCTTCAGGTTTCATCCTGATACTTCAATCTGCAGCCGTACAGTCTAATGCCATAACTTTATTTACCCTTCATAATGTTTGACAGATGACAAGATTTTATTAAAATTACGATCATTTTCTTCTACATCCTTTTCTCCTTTTGTCATCCAGCTAAAAGTTAAACTGAATGGCTGTCCAAAAAATATTGCTCCAAAATTCAAACAGTCTGTTTTATGGTTATTTACTAGTTAAACTGGATTAAGATTATCTTTTCTTTTTTTCCTCTTGAAAACAAACTTTGTGTAGTTAAATTTATTTTCACAGTTTGTCATTTACCATAATCCTGCTTTTGCAGCTGCCAGTAGTAACTAATTTAATGGAAAACATGTTTGTCTTTTGCCTTTTGTCTTTTTTGGTCTGTCTTTCGGGTTTGCAGGTGTTGTACCAGGCTGTTAACTATCAAATGGAGCCTATCATTCCTGAGACTGAACCTGAGGTTAGTAAGACAGAATATCAGAAGTTTTGTGTTCTTTTTGTGTATCTATTTCTTAAAACTGCTTTTATTTTCTTTGTAAATTAACAAACTTGTCTTAAATTATCCTCGTTTGAGTTGTTTTAGTGTCCACATGTGGGTGTGTTTCAAGGCCTTTTGTGCATTTTGTGTGTTTTTCTGCTGCTTCATTTTTGATGAGTTGTAAATCTAATGTTAAGGTTGCTTAGCTCCCTTGGCTGGTTAATTTATGCCCTTTCTTCTCCTCTCTATTGCTGCCAGCTTTATGATGCCTGGAGTGGGTGTTAATGTTTTATGATATGAAAATCATTTCCTTTTTGTGTGGAAAAAGCTAATTTGAAGCTCTCCATTAGTTTATTGTAGTATTGATGCGACTATTCCTTATTTGTGTGTGTTTAGGACTTGCAGATATGTGTGTGTGCGCGATTTTCTTTGGCTTTTCTTTTTCTGTGTGTGTTTCTGACCCTTGGTTTTTGGCCAAATAAAATATTAAGGAATGGTGATAAAAGATTTAATCTTGGTTCAGTTGTTCTTAAAATGAGATTTAAAAAAACTTTCTGAACGTGCAAAAACAACCACATTGTAGATTGATGTTTTCTGCTTTCAAGAAAATATGAACCATTTGGTTTGCAATAATAAAGATTTTTTAGTAGAGATTTCTCTGTTAGACTGTCAGTCATGTAATCATATAATCATAATGGTTTTGCTTCTTTATTTTATATAGCTCAGCTTTGCTTGATACTTTAGGAAAAATACAAAAAAATGTGATATTTTTATCACAAACACTTCTTATGTACTTAAAAGTATTTGTTTGTTAGACAAACATGACCTCATTCTCTGTGGAGCGATTGGTAGTCAACACATGCAAAGTCCAAATGTGTTGGAGAATCAAATGTATGTTTTTTTTTTTTTTTTTTTTTTTGTCCGTCCGTTTTCTTCCACTTATCCAGGATTGGGTCGTGGGGGCAGCAGCCTTAGCAGAGAGACCCAGACTTCCCTCTCCCCAGCCACTTGGGCCAGCTCGTCCGGGGGCGTCCAAGGCGTTCCCAGGCCTGCCGAGAAACATAATCCCTCCAGCATGTCCTGGATCTTCCTCTGGGTCTCCTTCCAGTGGGACATACCCGTAACACCTCACCAGGGAGGCATCCAGGAGGCATCCTAACCAGATGCCCAAGCCACCTCAACTAGCTCCTCTCGACATGGGGGAGCAGAGGCTCTACTCGGAGTCCCTCCCAGATGACTGAGCTTCTCACCCTATCTCTAAGGGAGAGCCCAGACACCCTGCAAAGGAAACTCATTTTGGCTGCTTGTATCAGCGATCTCGTTCTTTCGGTCAGTACCCAAAGCTCGTGACCACAGATGAGGGTTGGAACATAGACTGACCGGTAAACCGAGAGCTTCGCCTTCTGGCTCAGCTCCCGCTTCACCACGACAGACCGGTACAGCGCCCGCATCACTGCAGACGCAGCACCAATCTGCCTGTCCATCTCCCGCTCCGTTCTTCCCTCATTTGTGAACAAGACCCCGAGATACTTAAACTCCTCCACTTGGGGCAGGACCTCCTCCCCGACCTGGAGAAGGCATCCTACCRGTTTCTGGCTCAAGACCACGGTCTTGGATTTGGAGGCACTGATCCTCATCCCGGCAGCTTCACACTCGGCTGCGAACTGCTCCAGTGAGAGCTGGAGATCACGATCTGATGAAGCCAATAGGACCACATCATCCGCAAAAAGCAGAGATGTGATCCTAAGATCACCAAAACGGATCCACTCAACACCTTGGCTGCGCCTAGAAATTCTGTTCATAAAAGTTATGAACAGAATTGGTGACAAAGGGAAACCTTGGCAGATGTCCATCTCTCACTGGAAAGGAGTCCGACTTACTACCGGCAATGCGGACCAAGCTCTGGCACCAGTCGTACAGGGACATAACAGCCCGTATCAATGGGCTGGGTACCCCATACTCTCTGAGTGACCCCCACAGGAGTCCCCGAGGGACACAGTCAAACGCCTTCTCCAAGTCCACAAAACACATGTAGACTTGTTGAGCGAACTCTCATGCAGCCTTCAGGACCCTTCTGAGAGTATAGAGCTGGTCCGCTGTTCCACGAACAGGACGAAAACCACACTGCTCTTCCTGAGTCAGATATTCGACTGTCTGATGGAGCTTCCTTCCAGGACCCCTGAATAGACCTTACCAGGGAGGCCATTGTGATCCCCCTATAATTGGAATACACTCTATGGCTCCCTTTTAAATAAGGGGACCACCATCCTGGTCTGCCAATCCAGGGGAACTGCCCCCAATGTCCACGAGATATTGTAGAATCACATCAACCAACACAACCCCACAACATCCAGAGCCTTAAGGAACTCCAGGCGAATGTCATCCACCCCCAGCACCTTGCCACCAAGGAGCTTTTTAATCACCTCAGTGACCTCAGCACCAGAGATTGGAGAGTCCGACCAGGGTCCTCAGGCTCTGCTTCCTCATGGGAAGATGTGTCGGTGGGATTGAGGATATCTTTGCAGTATTCTGCCCACCGACCCACAATGTCCCGAGTTGAGGTCAGCAGCGCACCATCCCGACCATAAACAGTGTTGGTGACGAACCGCTTGAAACTTTGTCTGGCAGGAGACTCTGCCAGAAGTTCCCAGCAGACCCTCACTATATGTTTAGGTCTTCCAGGTCTGACTGACATCCTCCCCCCCCACCACTGGAGCCCACTCACCACCAGGTAGTGGTCAKTTGACAGCCCTGCCCATCTCTTCACTCGAGTGTCCAAAACATGTGGCCGCAAATCAGTTGAAATAACAACAAAGTTGATCATTGAACTGTGGCCTAGGGTGTCCTGGTGCCAAGAGCACATATGGACACACTTATGTTTTAACATGGTGATCGTTAAGGAGAATCCATGAAGAGCACGGAAGTCCAATAACAAAACACCCCTCAGGTTCAGATGGGTGGGGGGGGGGCATTCCTCCCAAGCACGCCCCTCCAGGTCTCACTGTCATTGCCCACGTGAACGTTGAAGTCCCCCCGCAGAACGAGGGAGTCCCCGTTACGAGCGCTCTCCAGCACCACCTCCAAGGACTCCAAAAAAGGTMGTTAATCTAAACTGCTGTTAGGTGCATAGGAACAAACAGTCAGTACCAGTCCCCCCACACGTATGCGGAGGGAGGCTACCCTCTCGTTCACTAGGGTGAACCCCAATGTACAGGAAACAAGATAGGGGGCAATAAGTATGCCCACTCCAGCTCAGCGCCTCTCAGCATAGGCAACTCCAGAGTGGAMGAGTGTCCAACCCCCCTCGAGTGGACTGGTTCCAGAGCCAGAGCGGTGCGTCAAGGTGAGTCTGACTATATCTAGTCGGAACCTCTCAACCCCACACACCAGCTCAGGCTCCTTCCCCACCAGAGAGGTGACATCCCACGTCCCTAGAGCCATCTTCTGTAGCTGAGGATCAGACCACCAAGGTCCTCGCCTTCAACTACTGCCCAACACACAATGCACCCAACCCCTTTGTCCCCTCCCACAGGTAGTGAGCCCATGGGAAGGGGGACCCATGTCTCTTCGGGCTGTGCTTGACCGGGCTCCATGGGTGAAAGCCTGGCCACCAGGCACTTGCCAACGTGCCCCCACCTCCAGGCCTGGCTCCAGAGTAGGGCCCCGGTGACCYGYGTCCGGGCAAGGGAACACTGAATTCATTTGTAGTATTCATCATAAGAGTTCTTTGGGCTGCACTTTGTCTGATCCCTCACCAAGGACCTGTTTGCCTTGGGTGACCCTACCAACAACATAGCTCCTAGGATCATTGGGACACTCAAAGTTCTCCACCACGATGAGGTGGCAGCCCAGGGAGAGGTGGTTACAAACACATGGAGACTTGTAGTTTTTTGAGCAGTTCAGAACTCACTGGAGGCTTTAGGTCTCCCTTCTGGACTGGGAAAATGTTGGGATCCCTCAGGAGGAGCCAGATAGTGTTGCAGGAGAGTGGGACATCTGGCAGCAGATGATTGGTCAATGGATGAATCTCTCTTGGACCAATGGACCAAACCTAAGAGCACTCAACCTGAATTTGTCAAATACTAATGTAGTTTGTAAATCAAATGTCCTTTGCTACTATTTTAGCAAATTCCCCCAAAAATAAATAAAAAAACAGGATACTGCACAAGTTAATGTCTAGTCTCTGCCAAAATTGCATTTTGATGTTTTTTAATAAACATACCATTTTTGTTGTCTTTATCACCACTCATCTCCAGGCCAGCACATCCACTGTGGGCTCTCCAGTCGGAAAAGCAGGGGACTTGTTGCACAGAACCACGGCTAAGACTATGAAGGTTCTGACCTCAACCGGAGTAACCACCAAAGCTGTTCTATCTGCGGTCAGTGACCACCGTTGGTGGAAGGAATCACTTAACTACCTTCGTCCACTGCACGTAAGAACATACTGGCTGTTCGATGGCTAATTAAATGAGAAGGGGGTCTTTGCAGCCACTAAGTAGGAGTTTCTTGGGTGTGGGCGTAATTTGAGTAAACCTTGATTTATTGGATTGACTTGCTGKGAAAGTTAAAAAATGAATTAATTGTAATTCAGAGTGGTGTCCCAATATCAGCATTTTTACAAGTACTCATACTTGAACAAAATGCCAGATACCTACAACCAATATTATTTTTTAGTGTGGATGTTTACATGCGACTTCCTTTAGACGCCAGTGTGAATGCTTACTTCCGTCGATGTTACATGCATGCACAGAGGATGATGTGGTGTCACTTTCAGCTCGTTGTTTACTGTAATAAACAAGTCACTACCTATCTATGGATGCTACATATTAGCATGCCAATTCTGAAGTTGTTGTTCAATCAGAGCCAGTGGAATAATTATCTGACCTGCTTGTTTAGTTTGCTGTTTACATTTGAACCTGCCTCTGGTTTGGCTGCTCTGGTGAAGCATGTATTTATGGAATGAGAGTGACACAACGTGCTTTAAGTAAAACTAACTAAAATATCGATCCACTTAGTATCGATCGGCTTACCCCCACCTCACCAACGTAAAAGTCTTTGAGTTTGTTTTTATGAGCTGTGTTGGAATGCTGTTTCTGTACAGCACTTTGGTCTACTATGGTGCAAAAAGTGCTTTACAAATAAAGTTGGATTGGATTGGAAAAGTCGGATGAAAAGTCACATGATCATTTAGACTTAGATCGCTTTGACAAACATCACATATATATCTAATTTAGTACCAGGTTCTAAATAAAAATGTGTTTTTATAAACATGTAATGTTTGAGTTCTAAGTCAGTAAGTACTCTGTATGATACTCGATATTGGCGAATACCCAAACTGAATACTTAAGTACTGAAAGTACTAAAGTGATTTTGTAGGCAACCAATTCCAACTCCAATACTTTAACTAAATTAATAATTTGACAGAGTTACTTTTACTTTTATTGGAGTAATATTTGATCAGGAATTGTACTTTGACTCAAATAAGGAAACTGAGTACTTTGTCCACCACTTTATATACGGTTTTTAACTTTTAACTCATCTGTATGCTTTTGAATGTTTATGCACATGAGAAGACATTGATAGTATGTCTGTGTTTCTGTTTCTTTCACACTCAAACTTCCCCCAAAACAGTCAATCCGTTGCATAATTAATTTACTCTCCTGCTGAATATTTCAGAATACCTGGTGGTAACCAGGCTAGCAGGTGGTCACCCTGATGCCTGGGTTGGGGGTTGTTGGGTTCAGAAGTGGTCACGAGTTTCTTAAGAAAGAGAATATGTGAGGACTTTTAGCTGTTTAAGGATCATGTTGCTGAGGGCGTGTTGTAAAAGTTTAATGATGTTTTGATGGCTCCTCAGGGTCACGATGCAGGAGCCACCAGTCACAAAGGGGTGTGTGAAAACTCCAACCTGGAGCGCCAAGGCTGCAGCCCCTTTTATCAGGAACTCATCGAGGATCCCTACGTAGACCCGGTGAGTGGCTTTAAGACCAAGCTGTGTCATAGCTCATTATTCTTTGCCTCAGGCCATCTTTTTAAATTGCAGAAAATGCCTGAGTGGACTTATGACTCAGGGCATTTAATTTGATTTTTTTTTCTTTTTTCCCTCCCATGACTTATACATTCCTTCAAAAACAGTGTCGAGACAAAATGAATATTGATTTCAGACTAAGTAATTATAATGCCAAAAGCACTTTGGAAGCACTGACATCACTGAGAGAGAAGCATAATTTTAGAACTGATGGTATTAGAGTCAGCAAAATCCAGGATGGCTAAAAAATAAAACATATAGTAGTATATGTATTGAATAGAAGAGAGCAGGTAAATGTGGATAAAACCTTAAGTAATAACATTGGCAGAAAGATGCATTGAAGTAAAAAAAAAGGAGTAATTTGACCTTAATGCTCAGAAAATGGTCACCCTAGGCTAAGATGAGGCTTTTTCCTCAAATACACAAATCATATGGATAGCTTAAAGAGTGGACACAAGGAGTACCAGTAAAGGCCAATATGTTTCCTCTCATGACATTTTAATAGTCCTCTTTGGATCTCTTCTTTCACTCCACGTCCAGCTTTGATCCATCTTCCATCATCCATCTAACTATAATTGCTCCCCGCGTCCATCTGTCTGTGTTTGATCAATGACATTTTTGTTATTTTTATCAAGCAAGTAGCAGCAACTGAAAAAGACAGAGAGAAGAATAGCAAGTTAAAGATGGACAGGAAACATTCAGTGTTGAAGCTCAGGGGCCAGTGAGAGGAGATCCTTCACTGTTCGCCCCTCAGACACCAGAGGAGCAACAGCAGTCCTACAAATCCCCCGTGGAAAAGCTTTGTTTTTCCTCTGAACTTCATTTATTTACCTCCTTTCTCATCTGTCTTTGCTCCATGGGAATGGATATGCTCAGTCATCTTAATCACATCTATTTGTGCTTTGTTTTATTTTTTGTTTTTTGTTCTTCTTTCCCTACTGTGGGGATTTCCCTTTTTATAATGATACATACTGCATCACTTTGTTCACTGTTGTTCTTTTGTTTTTTTAGAGTCAAGATGTTTATTCATCCTACAGAGAGATGCCCAAGGAAAACTTTGCTGAGGTTTTGCTGAGGACGGGAAAGTTGGCTGAGGCAAAAACTGAGGGTGAAACCCTGTTTCCTGCTACAGAGGGTAAGAACACATGATTGGTGGACATAAATGGCACATTCAGCTTGTAAAAACTGTTGCTTCTTTATTAAATACTCCTTAACAGTATTACTACACATTACATCTGCTTTGTAGAATACTTTATGACTACAGAGTTGCAAACTGTAATGTGATGTAATAAAACGATGAACAGAGCTGTTAATCATCTGAAAAGTTACACAGTCTATAACTGTTCCACTTTATTTTTTAAATGTGTGCAATTATTTTTATCTGGAAGCAACACTGCTAAGTATTAGGGCCGTAACCATACATATATACAGTTTACATACTCTGGCAGAATACAGAACATCCTTTAGTCTTTTGTATATAATTAGAATAAGTGTTTAGAGACACCACTTAGTTTTTGCTCACGTTTTAGTGATAAATCATAATTTTTCCCTCTGTCCTCCTGATGTAGAATAAGTTGTGTTTTTCTAAGCATTTAAACAATAGAAATTTTATATTTAACAATTTTTTCCACACTGAAGTTGGAGGATGAATTTTTTTTCTTTAATTTAAGTAACAGCGGCGTGGAGATGGAAAGAAGATGTCGATGTTATATGCACAAGCAACTCTTCAAAGTTGCCCTTCTTGCTAATTTAACAACTTTTGTTGTCCGACCGGACTGTTTTCAGTGACTTGCAGAATCGCTGCAATCGCTGCAACCTTTGCTCCATAGCCACACAGGGATGTGTCCCTAAAAGACTCTGTTGCACCACCAGAGGGTACCGCAAAGGGCTGAAAAATCCTGAAGTCTGTATGAAATTAGCGGTAGCATTGCACATTAGAATTTGATTTTTAATGCTTAAATAAAAAAATGGGGTAGGGGGCATTATATTAAAAGTAGGGTAGCACAATATCAGAAAATCTTGCGATGGCAATATCAGGTGCGATGTGTCTTTTTTTTCTCCCTTTCTAATCTGTACTTTCTTCTCCATGTGACTTTTAGCATTTTTTGCAAGGTCTTTTGTGTTTAATGTGAGATTTTGCTGCTGTGAGATTCTGTCCTACTGACTAAATATTGCATTAGCATGAAAAATACAACTTCTAAACTCTTGAAATCCATTAGTCAACAATTATTGCATTCCAAGCAGTCCTTTTCCATGAATATTGCATACACTGAAATTGCGATGACAATATATTTGTGACATATTTTGCAGTCCTAATTAAAAGCACACAATAGAAAAAAGAAAAAATCTGTATAGGTCTTCTGGACGGGTTCTTTTCCAATGAAACGTTTCGTCTCTCCTCCAAGAGACTTCTTCAGTCTGAGAGTTTCAGGCAAAATTCAGGCTTTTAAGCACTGCCTCCATGTGACTGATACTCATATCACATGGCTATCATTGACACCTAGTTAACACCTATTGTTAACGGGGTGGAGTGATACTAGCAATAGCAGCACTGTAGGAGGGGGACAACTGAAAACGGAGGCCTCCACCTCTGTTTAACGATGGATGGTCTTTCTTCACAAAAATGGCTTCTTTTACTCCTCTCTCAAACCTAACAGCATATARTATATATGCTTATTTGCTGTTAAGTGCCAGGAGGACTGCGTCCAGTTATACATCGGGGAAACAAAGCAGCCACTGTTCAAAAGAATGTCCCAACACAGACGAGCTACGTCTAATGGCCAGAACTCTGCAGTTTTCACTCATTTACAGGCCAGCGGTCACTCTTTCAGAGATGAGGATGTTCTCATTCTTGATAGAGAGGAATGTTGGTTTGAGAGAGGAGTAAAAGAAGCCATTTTTGTGAAGAAAGACCGTCCATCATTAAACAGAGGTGGAGGCCTCCGTTTTCAGTTGTCCCCCTCCTACAGTGCTGCTATTGCCAGTATCACTCCACCCCCTGTTAACAATAGGTGTTAATTAGGTGTCAACGATAGCCATGTGATGTGAGTATCAGTCACATGGAGGCAGGGCTTAAAAGCCTGAATTTTGCCTGAAACTCTCAGACTGAAGAAGTCTCTTGGAGGAGAGACGAAACGTTTCATTAGAGAAGAACCCGTCCAGAAGACCTATACAATTTTTTTGTTTTTGATTTTTTACCTGGATTACTGAGATGCATCAGGACAGCACACAATAGATGCTTAAATTAATTGGTTTGTTCTAAATGTCCAGTGTGACAAATAAATACCTGTTGTAGGCAGCACCTGCAAGGCCAAGATTTGTGACTTAATCAAACAAAATAAGCATTGTTTAACTTGACTCATTTATCTCTGCTCCATCTTACAAGTGAAGTTGTGGTATTTACAAATAGCAACATATTGCCCCCTCCCACTCCGCACACCATGTCTTCTCCTCTACTCATCCATCTTGGCCAGGGATCCCATGTGTGGTGATTTTGGGAACAATCGGGGACAAATAGCCACATTTTAGTAATTAATGTGTCCCCTAGCATCCCGCAGCAACAGTAATTAACGACACATCGCTGCAGCGGAAGTGGCGCGATAGCATCAAGTCAAAACACGAATGAGCCCAGCTGCTCACCCCAAAATCAATGCCATGACAAAACTAAAGAGCAAACGTGTGCACGTGCATCCTTATCTCCGAAGGAAATGCGAGGTGCACACTTTGTCTAAATCGTGTCGGCACTTCAGTATGCGTGCGCACGCCGCCTCCACGTTCTCGAGCCAAATCCAAGCTCTCTCTCACGTAGCTGCCGTCATTCAAATGAACTTCTTAAAGTCACCTTCCCTTCGGAGCCGCCCGCGACCAGCAGGAAAGAGGAGAAGCCTGGACGGTGCCGCGTCCGATAACGAGCTTCGATTAATGACCGGCGCATGTGTCCGCCGCGCCGGCCGTCCTCAAAAACAGACTAGGAGATGGCCTTTAAGAAAATAAATATATTGATTTTTCACCTGACCCTGATAAGGTGGAGATAATTAATGATGACACAAGTGGAAAGTGACTCAATGGGATTGAGCTGTGGACGGTGCAGACACCACTTGATGTGAACACACACGCACACACACTCCAAACTACAGTGGTTTGCAAAAGTATTCATACCCCTTGAACTTTTCCATATTTTGTCACATTACAACCACAAACATAAATATATTTCACTGGA